ATCTATTTGCATCTGTTTTATGGATTCCATTTGTTTCTTATGTTGGGATTCCATCATGTTCCTCAGCTCCTCTCTAGATTTATTGATCATGTCTTGCACCATGAGCACAATCTCTGCTGTTATCTGAGAAATTATTTCTGATTTCATTATTTCCAGATCCTCTTTTGTTGCCAGTTCAGGGAATCCAGGTGGTTGAGTATCACAGTGTTCCATCTCACTTCCCTTTGGGTTTGCTGTAGGCGATCTGGAAGTTTGGTTTTGAGACTTGTTTACGTGTCTTCTCATTTCCACGTGGTGGGGCCGGGGCTATTGGCTCACCTCCTCTGGGCTGGGAGTGGTGGAACAAGCAGCCCGGAAGCCCCTTCCTCTGGGCTGGGTGTGGTGGAACAGCCTTATTTCATTTTTATAAGAGTTAGTTCTACTCTTGAACTCTGGTATTAATACTTTCAATTTCATATTCATTCATACCACAAATATTTTACTGAACCACTACTATATGCAGAGCACTGTTGGTTTAAGGCACTGTACAATACAGAAAGAAGTATATAACTTGATCTCTGCTCTGGAGGAACTTCAAATTTCTGCCAGAAGATACAGGCACATTAAAAGTCATCTAACAATACAGTATAGGACAATATATAATAAAATAGCAAATCAAAGATATAAATAATATAGGACTTGAAGGTAGGAAGAGTATCCTTGCTATCAGCTGGTCAGGGTAAATTTGCTACTGCTAGAACTTGAGTAAATGAGGAGAACTTGGCGATGCATGCAAAGGGGGAAAAAGCAAAACTAAAGAAAAGGGAGGCAAACTTGGGGAGGTGGGAACAGTGAGATAAGTCATGAACAGTGAGACATGCTTATTGAGTAGAGTAGTCTGGACAGCAAGTAGTAAGAGGAAAGGTTAGAAAGATGAGGTGAGGCCTAATTGAGGTAAATGTGAAAAGGCAGGGTAGATGGTGGACTTAAAGGGTATGGTCTTGTCAGGGTATGGTCTGCAAAACAACTGGGGTGTCATTAAAACAGATTCTTTGGCTCTATACATGGCTGTCACTCAGCAATCTGCATTTTAAAATAAATTTCCCCATATCATCCTGATACACAATTAAGTTTGAGAATCATTGCTCTAGGCTAGGGATCAGCAAACTAAGTTACTACATAGTAAAAATCATAGGCTTTCCAAAGTCCTTATAATGTCTATTGTACATTCCCATTCCCACATATGCACATATATATGTACAAACATATTTTTACAACCTATACATGCTTTTATAACCCTTTAAAAATGGAAAAAACATTCTTATCTCACGGGCCATACAAAAATAAGCCATGGGTCAAATGCTACCCCTTGTTACAGGCAAAAATACCCCTCTGAAGGTTTTTCAGCAAGGCTGTGTTTTCACTGGCCAAGTACTCAGAAATTCAGTGAATGTGGTTTTCAAAGTAGTATGTTGATTATTTCTCTCATTTCTGTTATTTTTAATTTTCTGTCACTGGTCCATATTTTAGCAGGTATTCAGGTGAAGCTCTCTGGGTAGGCTCCCCGAAATGTCTTTCTAATTTTTCTGTTTTGGTGGCAGAGCTAACTTTAACCTTTGACTCATGCTGTTTTCCTACCCTATGCCTTGATAATGATGGTCTCTGAAAATAAACAAACATTTTGAACTGGGGAAGTAGCAATCACTAATGTGGAGAAGGGGAGGGCTATACTTAACTAATAATTATCAGATTTAAGTATCACTAGATGAATGGAAATGTTATGTGTCACAAACAGGATTTCTAAAAGAACCAATGTTACAACTATTCCTGAAAATGTACATTCTAGGTGAAAAATACATATGACGGTTGGATAAGTCCTCTCAGTGGGCTCTTGTAAGAGGGGATCAATGAGTTAAGGGAAATTGTTCAAAGATTCTATTACAGATTATGGAAGATGCCTTGAGTATGTGTAGGACTAAATCATTTAGCAGTACAAAGAAAGTGGCAATGAGTCTGATACTACAAGAACTGGTAGCCTAGTGACGAAAAATTCACAATGTTTGTTCTTTGTGCAGTCATTCTGTCTTGAGAGAAGCACCGAAGAGATGAAGACTGTCAGCGCTAACCACAGATTTCCCTTAGATCCTATGGAAATGACCTGAGGGAGGTCACTGTGCACTAGAGTAAACACTAGGTAAGAGATCAGGGGTTCTCATTCTCTACTATAAAGCTTTACTCCAGGAAGAGAGGGTAGAGAAAATGACGGGAGCCTGGCTTGGGTAGCAAAGCAAGACTGTATCAGGCATCTACACTACTTACTTTAGAATTGTCAATTAGGATAATTTCAATTGCAGCAGGTATTTCTCCTTTTACCAATTGCCTAAAAGTAGTTTATAGATCAAAGCCTGCTGTCCTAGCAGTAAAGCATCTTTGAAACTGAAGGGCTTACCATCTCCATGGTGCAGATCCAAATCCACATACAGAATACGGTCAAATTTCCGTCGCAATCGTAATATTCCCAGGACAGCATCATTGAGATAACAAAACCCAGATGCTTCATCTCTGCAAGAAAACAAGTTGCTACAGCCAGCAGCCACAAAGCAAGCCAAGAGAGTCCTAACAGCCAAGGATCTAACCCTGGCAATGTAGTCTCTTAAAATATCCCCTTTTAGGAAAAACAAAAACCTACCTACAAGAATTATGTAGTAAATGGCCCAAAATTATTAGAGATTGAAGTGTTTTGGTAAAGTAAATATTTGGATTGATTGGCAACATTTTCCATTCAGGATTCCAGAATTTCAAAGCATTAGAATATTATAACTATATTGAACAAGATAGATCCTTCCTTTGATGATTTAGGAATCACTTCAAATCTGTTAGTACCCTGGTGTTCTCATGATAAACACTGATTTCTACTTATAGAACTGTAAGAAAGCGAGCATCTAGAAAGGGCCTTAATGACAACCTTGTAGAAGATGATGGCACTGGATACTCTGTATTAACTCTATGATACAACCTAAAAGTTGTTTTTGTTTTTAAAAAATAATTTTTGGCACTTGTTGCTTATAAAAGCTGAGCGTAGAACATATGAATGCATAACCTCTTAATGTGGTTGCCTTTCTATAAATTTAATTATTACTCTGAAGAGTGAAGCAGTCTTTCTAAAGTTATTTTGTTTCTTTCACAAAAACTATGCACATTGACTTCACTGGTATTAATATTTTTGCTATTGGTGCTATTGCATCACTTTATCCTCTTGTGAACTTCACCTGCTCTTTTATTACACTTCTGTTAAGCCTTACTGATTAGATGTAAAAGAACATTCTTTAGCTAGGCATGGTGGCACATACCTATAATACTAGCATCCTGGTATGCTGAAGAAGGAGGATTGAAAGTTTGAGCCCAGCTGGGCAATTTAGAGACTTAGCAAGATCCTGGTTCAGAATAAAAAAAATTATAAAAAGGAATGAGGATGTAGCTCAGTGCAAAGGTCCCGTGTTTAATTTCCAGTACCACAAACAACAAACAAACTGAACCAAAACAAAAACATTTTATCATCAAGAGTATGTTGCTGGATATGGTCATGTACTCTATACTTCCAGCTACTGGGAGGGTGAAGCAAGAGGACTGGAAGTTGGTGGCCAGCCTGGAAAATACAGCAAGATGCTGTTGCAAAATTTAAAAAAAAGATTTTTGAAAAGGGCTGGAGATATATCTCAGTTTTCCTTGAATTAAATCTCTAGTATAAAACCCACCCCCTGTACAGTATCATAATTTCCTTTTTAAGGGTTCATCTTCAATGCTCCAGTTTCTTTTGTTTCCACAGACATCTCAAATATCCAGCTCATTTTTTCTAAGTCCCCCCTGAGATTTTAATTGAAACAGAATTCTAGGCATGGTACTTAAAATGACATCTTTGCGACGATGAGAAATCTTTCTAATATCTACACAGTTCATAAACTTCTTTATCAAATCCCTTTATAATGACATTTCATATTCTAAAGAATGCCAGTTCACTGGAAGAATCAATGAAACTGGTACAACAGTGAGCAGGAAGTTGGTAAAAAAAATCACTAGACACTGACTATGCTTCATAAGGTAAACTCAGCAGCCATCTAGCAAAGACTTGGCCTTAGATATGCAACTGATAAGAAAACAAGCAAAAAATTTGCCCATTCATGAATTCTCTGCAAAGAATGAAATATGTGACTTTGAAAGTTCTTGGATGCAAATGTTATTTTCCAATTGTGAAAAGTCTACTGTCATAGTACATCAAAAAAGACATAATCTGTTCTCCTACTGAACATCACTGACTTTTGGGTAGATAGCCTAGAACACTAAGTACTAGGCAAAAAGAAAAAGGAGAAGGAACACAAATTAGTACAGTACATACTTCTCTTAGAAAACCTATAATTAAGTTATGGGGACAGAGAACAAAAACAAAAACCAACCATCCAAACAAAAGAGGCAATCAGACATAATATAGTATATAAAGGAGTATACAGAGAAATTCTACAGAGAAAATTGGCAGAGTACATTCACTGCCAATATTGTCAGTAACAACAAATAAGAAAATATTTGTTGAAACATTGTCATTGCCAATACTGAACTTAATCTCAGTCTAAAGCTTCTTGAAAGCAGTGATTGTTAAGAAGCCTACCACTCCTTTGTGTTCTAAAGGCTAACCACAAAGCAATGACTACATTTCCTTGGCATAGTGCAAAGTAAGAGCCATTCCCATCCTTCCTCATGACTCCCATGAGATTCACGGATAACTCCTTGGTTTACCCTTCTCTATAAAACTCCAGGGGCCTTCAAGATGCTCCTCATTAATAAACATTTTTCTTATGGCAATAGCCAGAATAATGATGATGATGATAATATCTATAATTCAGAAAGTACTTTACATCTCTGTGTGAATGTGTAATATTTTCCTACTTCTGTCTTTTCAATTTTTTTTGGTACTGGGGATCGAACTCCGGTCCTTGCACTTGTGCAGCAGGCAGCGAAACAACTGAGCTAAATCCCCGGCCCCCGACTTCTGGATAGTATTACCAAATTAATTATAAAATCTCTTAAAAGATCTCTTTCTCATTGGCTTATAAAAATAAGCATTTAGACAAATGGAACATAGCTAAAATTCCTAAAAATAAGGATATTGAATATCAAGATTTTCAAAGTACTAAAAACGTATTCCTATAAAAGTGAAATCAAGTGTTTTAAAAATTCAAGTTCACATCATTCAGGTATATTTGTAGCAGATAAGACTATTTTAGTAATTCTGGTTTACTAAATTAACCATCTATGTTGTTCTGACTTATTAGTATTGGGTATAATATACAGGTAGATTTTTATTCTACTTAGGTGTATACTTCCTGAATGTATACAGGTTTATTGGTTGAATGAGCTAACATTACTTCTACTAAATGTTTATTATTATAAAAAATGTAAATTTGTTCAAGCACGTTCTGTCATTATGACAATCTTTATCTCAACAGTAATTATTATATTTTGGGGAGTACTGAGGATTTCTGAACCCAGGGCCTTTGCATTGATGCACTAAGTTACAGCTCCAGCCCTTTCTATATTTTTAAAATTCTGAAACAGGTTCTCACCCAGTTGCTTAGTTGCTAGGCTGGGCTTGAATTTGACATCCTCCTGCCACACCATCCCAGAGCGCTGGTATTACAGCCTCCCAACCCCCATTGAAGATTGAACTCAGGGCCTCAGGCAAAAGCTCTGCCACAGAACTACAACCCTAGCCCTTTTCTATGGTTTGATTTTATCATGCTCTTGATTACTTAAGAAAGCCAAGTCTTCTCAGAAAAGAGCTAAGGTTTATAATCATTTTACTTGTTATGTTTATCTTTCAAAGCCAAGTATTGATTTTCAATAACCCATATCATCCTATCTTAAGTCCCAGAGAGCCTATGGAAAAATCACAAAGGATTTCTTTTACTTTGTAAAAAGAGCCATTCTAACAATCATTAGATTTGCTTGATATGTTACTATTGAGGAATTACATAGGTATAACTGTCAAATCAGAAGACATTTTTTTATCTTCCCTAGGTTAAACTGGTCAAATGTTACAGAAGTACAGAAGTATTTCAGAAATTGCATGTTGTTTTGAGAAGTTCCTACAGATTCATGCACATTTTTGCTGGATGTGGTGTGTTTCTATTTGTCAGAATAAAGATGCTGCTTTGTCAAACAGTAGACAACCATAGTACAGTAGTCCTTCCTTATATGTGGGGGATACATTCAAAGACCCCAAGTGGAGGCCTAAAACTGCAGACAGAACCAAAGCCCATATACACCATGCTTTTCCTATACATATATACATATGGTAAAGTCTAATTTATAAATTAGGAACAGCAAGAGATTACCATTAATAATAAAATAGATTATAAAAACTGTAATAAAAGTATGTGAATGTGGTCTCATTTTTTTTTCTCCCTTTCTGAAAATATTTCATTGAAATCTACTCACCATGGCTGACTGTGGGTAACTGAAATTGGGAAAGTGAAACAACAGACAGGAGGCTACTATAGTGTTTTTCATCATAATTTAAATTTCCTTTTCTTTTGTTTTTTTTGAGACAAGGTCTCACTATGTAGCTCAGGCTGGTCTTGAACTCACTATGTAGCCCAGGCTCACCTCAAACTTGTGGTGATCCTTCTGCCTCAGCCTACCAAGTGCTGGGATCACAGGTGTTTGCCACCAACCCAACTCCAATTTTCTAAAAAAATGTTTACTTTACCTCAATCATACCTCTCTACTTTTACACTTGATCTTAGCCAAAAGGCCGAGAAGTGATATACCTCTCTACTTTAAAAAAATTTTTTTATTAGTATATGTTTCTAGTACATGATGTTTAAATTTCTTGTGGGGAATTGGTACATATACATAACACATCTTAATCCTTTTTGTCATCTTCTTTTTCTTCCTTCCTCCTCCATCCATCTCTTGATCTTCTTCTTTTGGGCTACATGTTTCCAATATATATCAGTCAGAGCTTACTAGAGAAACAGATTTAATACAAGATATACAAATATAAAAGAATTTACAAGACTGGCTTACGATGGCTGCCCATAGAGTCAGATGTGGAAGAGTACAAAAGGACTGTCTGTGCACTGAACTGAAGGATCCAGTCGAAGGCATGGAGCTTAGTATAGTGTGCTGTACAAGTCTGTATCAGGAGGCTGAGGGGTCTGTGCTAGAAGGTTGAAGATGACGTCCAAGGTAAAGGCAGAGTGGAACTCCTTCAAAGAAACAGAAGCAGCTGCCTTCTTTCTTCATTTCCCTAGGCCGCCCTAAGGTGGGTCTTCCACACCCAGAACTATGCTGAGTCAATTTAGTTGGGCATTGCTTACTCAAGTTGAAATAATCAGTTAACTATCACAATAATGTTTATATTCCTTTTGTGGAGTTGGTAAATGTACATAACACATCTTAATTCCTTTTTAAAATCTCCTTTCCCACCCTCTCCCCTCTCCCATCTCTTGAACCTCTTCCCCTTTGAAATGATCCATTTCCTTACTTCCTATTATCTTTTATTTTGT